AAATAAGAGTTTGTAATTGCAACACTGGACACACTTTGATAAAGGAAGAAGTGACTTTGCCGCCAATAAAACAAGCAAACATCTAAAAGAAAACTAGTAGTTGTAGTAGTAGCAGTAGTAGTAGTAGTAGTAGTAGTAGTAGTAGTGGTAGTAGTATCAAACACATATTCGAAAACTGACAGGAAAAAAGGCTAATGCTAGCCTTTTCTGTTGTGGGTATAAAAAAAACTATCTCATGTTGGATCTATGTTTTGACTTTGGAGGTTAATAGAACACAGCATCTAGTGGCATTAGACTATAACATACAAATATAACAWATAAATAACATAACGTACAACAAGTACATTAATAACCTTTCTACAGAATTATACAGTATATGTTTAAATTTTGGTGATTGCAATAATTTGACACATTTTTGTTGGACACTCTGAAGTCGCACCCTGTAAGGACCATACCTTGGCGTARATGCAGCTGTCTGAGAGTCTCAGATAGGGACAATACTGATCACATATGGGACACATGATGAYGTCAGTGGCCTGGCAGATTTCTTTGCTGAAGAAAAAAAACATTTATTCACTTTAAAACAACAGTAAAACTGATGATATGTACAGAATAAAAACTATAGGGTGAGTCAAAAAATCAAAGGACATCCTTTTTTAATCCAGTATGGCGGCTTTCAAGATGGTGGCCATGTTCTGGACATATCCTACAARATAGACCCCCTCACCCTTTACTTGCTGGGGTATTCAGATATTTCATTTTCCAAATTCTTTCTGAAATAGAATGGTGTCCCGAGACTTGATTCACCGTGGAGCAACACTTTAAAGACCAAACTGATGCAACTTTATAAGTTTGTCAGTGTCAACCCTACATAAGCAGACAATTTGGTTAACTCTCTTTCATAGTGTGCTGCTTCTTGACYAATTAGTTTTGCTATAAGTTAAGAAGAAATAAATATTTTGGCCAACAAATGTTTTCATCTCCTTATAATGCAATATGAATGTAAGTTGCCGTTCTTATATCGGGAATATTTGAAAATTCATATTTRCTTGTTCTAACTGTCCCATAAAAAACAAAATGGCCTATGTCAAAATATGAAGTCCTAAAAATGCAGAAATTTGCTGCACTGATCCTCTTTAAAGTGTCCTTTTCTAAATTTGTCTGAACTGGAGCCTTTTTTTTAAATTAAGGCTTCAAGTATAATTTTTTTATAATTATTCAATTTAGTTTTTAGAGGAAATAATCCTGAGTGTATTTTTTTCATGCTTTGCGACAAATTTTGCCTTAGAAAAGTATCAACAGTCCAATCTCTGGACAACATACATCTTTATTGTTAGTAAAAAAAAAGTTAATAGTATTGCTATGATGATGAGACTGATTCTTCCATACAAATACAGAGCAAAGTTATAAGGCTTTATTTAAATGATCATTATTCAATTAATAAACAATTTCAAAAATCTAAGAAGCTCTTTACCTGACCGGGCAGTGCTCCAGAGTAAAAACACCATACAGGAACACAAAGAGGCCAACCAAAGCTGCAGNGTTGTAAATTATAAATCCCTGAAACTTGTTAAATTATATAGTATATTTACCTGAGAATCAAGCTTACCAGCACATTATCCGTTTAGTTGTTTAAGCGAGTTGAGAACTCCGCAGCTCAGCAGCTCATGCGTGTGTCCGCCATCTTGAAATTCTTTATTTCTTTTTACTTCTCCAGTTCAACCTCAGTTGTCTTAATAAATTGCTAAACTAATTTATTATTTTATCCTTCTAGTTGCTGTCTTACTGTCTCTTTTTTGTATACAGTATTTGGAAACACAAATAACTTATCAGTCCTTTAATATCAAGACAAGTTGGTTTTACAAGTTGGTTAAATAAATGTATGTACTGTAGGTCTGTTTGTAAAAGGTTCTGTCAGAGATTCTGAGCAAAACTTTGTGCAAACACTTAAAAACTCTTAGATGAGAGCTTTTCATGTTTTGTTTCCCCCCTGACTTGTAGTAAAACTGCGCTGCAACATGAAGAGGAGGAGATGAGGAAGAACCAGTGAGCTTGGAACCAAAATTGCACATTTCAAACCAAAAGTGTCAACGTATATTTATTTCCATACGCTGAACTTGTATTTATGTGTTTTATCTTTTTAAGTAATATCTTAATTCTCACTTTAACCTCCGAACTCTGAGAAAAAAGTCAGAATTTAGGGGAAAAAATTGTACTGAAGCCCATAGTGTGTAACATTTGATAAGTTTTCCATTTGGACTTCTCAGATTCTTGACTGCTAAGCACAGGAATTTCCAGCATACTCTGTCATAAATATAAATAATTTTATACAACTCTGTATCACAAAAGCTAATCAGCCACAAGTGCATCCAACTCCTGTTAAAGTCAAATCAAGAAAACAGATGCTCCTCTTTCTGAACTATTATACATTTTGGAGCGTCAACACTGAAGATTTAATGCACAATAACAGTCCTCTTCTGAAGAAATGTGACTTTTGGGGAAATAATATGACAGTTTTCAAGGCATGTTCGAAATACCACGCAACACTGGAGAGGAAACTTTGAGCCTCTACATTCCTCGGACTTTACTTGCTGCAGCTGCACCACCTTCGGTTGTTTGATGAATGAACCAATCCCAGCTTGACTTTTTGATGAACGCACCAATACACGATGATGAACAGCAGAGGAGGGAGCGGATCATAGCGGTCTCACCGAGGCCCAGAATATGAATGCATGAGCAGAGCGTTATTACTGTGGTAAAGTGGGAGGAGGGGAGATAAAGAAAGATGAAGGAGACAAGTTAGAGGAAGAGCATGTCTGTCTGCAGTGATAAGTGAGGATTAAAGAAGGAGTGTGTGGGAAAGATTGATGCGACAAAGTGTTAGCGAGGGGAGGAGCACGGGCCAAAGCAGGGAGGATTTATGAGCGGGAAGAAAAGTGGACTGACAATGTAAAGAAACTAAAGAAGAGAAAAGACAGAAATAAATAAAAAAAGCCATCTTCTAAGCTTGTGTGAGGCTGAAGGATATTGGACTCAAACTGAGGACTGAAGCTGTGTTCAGTGTTGTATAAAGTACCACAAAGTGATACTTAAGTAAAAGTACAAGTATCTTATGAAAAACTACTTTGGTAAAAGTTAACATCTCATTTAGGAATATTACTTGAGTAAAAGTCTTGACGTATCTAATATTTTTTGTACTTAAGTATTAAAAGTAAAAGTACTGATTTAAAATGAGCGGTTAGATTTTCTGTAATGACATGTATTAGGAGGTGACCTCCCCAAAAAATGCAGAAATGACTATATTGTATTAAAATAATCAATTTATGTTAAATTTAGGATGCACTAGTTTAGCTGTTTCAGTTTATATACATATATCAAGACTGCCCAAACATTTTCCACAAAATGAAAATCTATCTGAGGGCTGTGGCCAAATACAATAATATAATTCATGAAATACAAATACTTCTTAAGTACAGACCTTTTATTTTAATGATTATGTCCTGCTGGAATGTGACATGATTTGTTTGTGTACAAACTAATACAGTATCAGAATGTTATGTATTTATACATCTCATTCAATCACAACTAAATTCACTCTATAGGAGGCACAATTTATATGGATAGTATTTATTTTTTACAATAACAAAATGGAATGAAAAGTAACGACTTTCTACTTCTTGTGTTTTTTAAAAGTGTAAGGAGTAGAAAGTACAGATAATTGTGTGAAAATGTAATAAGTAGAAGTAAAAAGTAGGCTGAGAAATATTTACTTAAGTAAAGTACAGATACTCAAAAATTCTACTCAAGTACAGTAACAAGGGATTTGTACTTAGTTACTTTACAACTCTGGTTCTGTTTGTGTCCAGGACAGTTACTAACCAGTCGACATCATACTGGCAGTTCCAGACTGGCTTTAGGTTTGATTAGCATTCAGTAAGAGTTTGATCTTTACTGATCCAGCTGGTTAAAGTTAGGCTATGATCTCTATGGGAACCCAAGTTCCAAGCAGACGACTTAACCTTTGAGGGTAATCCCCAAAATTTTTGGGCTACTTAGACCTCCCTTTTTACTAGCAGGCTAGTGTTTGAATTTGCCTTGTGGTTTTCATATGTAAATTTAAAAAAGGAGGATGCCAGAAATTCTTCAGCATCAACAACAGTGGCACTTGCCCACAATGTTTGTGCATTAATGCACAGATACACAGTAGAGGTGCAACAAATCAGAAACTTCACAATCCTGTTCGATATTTTAGTCTCACGGTTCAATATTTTTGATAAAACTTTCCATGCCTTTCTTAACTTATTTATTGAAATTAATATAATATTTAATATGAACATTTGTTTAAACTCAAAATTACAGTTTTTTTAATTAAATGTTGCTGAAACAGCAAGTTTCTCAGTGGATCTGTGCTCGACGAAACAGCCCAGGTGGAGTAGTCGAATGCAGATCCACTGAGTCTTCAACACAGAGCATCTTCAGAAGACAAGTTGATAAAAACATTTTTAAAATGTTCAACCTCTAATAGTTGTTTGAAAGACTGTGGTTCGACCAGTGATGTGCCAACTTTTATGTAAATGGCCTTTTCAAAACATATAACCTTAACATGTCAGGGATTGCTGCAGTGGCGGAGCCAGACATTTTTCTCAGGGGTGGCCAGACTGGGACCACTACTCACACAGGGGTGGCCAGAAAAATTACATCTTTTTTTACTTGTAAGTTTCTGCAGATCTTTGTGTTTTGGTCATTTCCTAATGTTCTTATACAGGCAGTGATTCTAAACATGGGCGTCAGAGTCATTTTAAAAGTGGTGGGACAGAGTGTTGAAAATTTTGAACAAAATAGAGACCATTTCCTACACCAGAACACAGTAAAATAGATACCATTTCCTGCATTCTGGTGTATTTTACCAGGTTCTTAAACATACTTTTACCTACATAAATAAACACTTGATTTAAGAATTATTTCAGAGACAAATTATTCATTAATCTAGTTCCATCATCCTGTTTTTAAACTCACTGCTGTTGCTGAGATAAGGTTGATTAATGTGACACAATTTATCATATCCAATGACTTTAGGGGTGCCTTATACTTTTATATTGTTCATTGATTTATTTTTAACATTGTGCCAAACAACGTTGACCCTCAACTGCATGTTTGAAACTAATAATAATTTTACCAAATGAACAGCTGCAATACTGACAACCACCAACAGTGAATTTAGAGGGGTGTTTCACTTTTTCTGATTTAGTGCCTAACTATAACCAAACACAGAGCTTCGTGCAGCCTTCAGAACATAAAATGACAAAATAAAATGTAATAAAAAACACTTGTCACCATATGTCCAATTTGTACTGTATATATAAAAAAACATCACATTTTTGTCATTACTCTTCCTCAGTGATAGAGCTTGGCGATGTGTCAAACTGTTAAACACTGCCACCAACTGTTCAGGAGGATTATTACACCCCCTAAAGGTTGTTTCACTGTGGAAAGGGTGTGAACAGCAGGGTGGCCAATGGGGTGGCCAAAGATTTGTCCGTGGTGGCCATGGCCACCCCTGGCCACCCGCTGGCTCCACCCCCTGTCCACAGCAGCCACCTTGTAAGAGGCGGATTACAGCCATTACATCCTGAAACAAAGGTCCGGTCAGGTCTGGTACGGTCAGCTTCTGGCTAAAATGGTGGACACAGCTCCTCTGAGTCAAACCTTTTGACCTAATATGTAGATCAGTCTATGGAGCTATCGAAAATAACCAGCAACTGAATATAAAAAGAGCTTGTGGGGGGGAGTAATAAAAAGATGATACATTTAGCACATATTCACTGACGCATGCGAGCATAATATCCACCGTTTGCTGTACAAACCATGCCAGAAAATAGCAACAACAGGAAAAAAGCATTTCCCTGACAACTCTGCAAACCTTAATATTTTAAACAAGAAAACTGCTTTTTTTGGTTCATCCTGTGTCCCAAACATGCATAACTAAACCCTTGAAAGACAGTGAGATAACACAAAAAACACCTTTTGAGTTCATATTGAATAGAGATTACATCCTCTGTTCGTTTCATCACCATAGCACAGCCAGATGTGGAACATATTTTAGGGTCTCTTGAAGATGTGTGGACTGGTTTTCATGCATATCACAACTATCCCAGTGTGGCTTTCACTGGCACGTCAGAGCTTGAGGACCTAAACAAAAAAATCTCTTGCCAAGCGGGTTTCTTTCAGTAACAACTGCAGGGTGCAACTTTATGGCACAAAGAGCTCCATAACCCGTGGCACCTTGGCAGGTTGTAATGCAGGTCGGGGCTCTGCCAACACATCGTGGTGCACGACAACAAAAGAAGACTGATTAAAGTTGCGGGCTATCTGCACACCTGTTCATCCTCTGATATCAAGAAGAATCTCTTGTTGCCGTTCACGGACCGGACAGTGCACATCCTGCAGAGTCTGAGGGAGACATTATTGGCACAAAGGAAACTCAGGGGATTGTTTGTACATGTAGCTGAGTGATCTACCTGGTGTTTGAAGTCAGTTGATGATGGAGAACATATGCATTCCTCTTGGAAAGGGTCTTGTACCTTTACACAGGGAATGTTGAGAGTGTAAAGGAAGAACAAGAAAAAAGATTGAGTGAGTTATAGTTTTAGCAAGGGGGAAAAAACATGATTTTTTTTCTAACTTATTAAAATGACACATTTGTCGTCACATCTCAGGCAGAGGACTCACTTCTTTCACATCCTCAGTCAGGACAAACATAACTTTTTTATTTTCCTTGTGTGTTTTTCATACAACCTGCCTGGCGATTATAGTAAATAACATTATCACATAAATAATTTCTATAAAGGGAAATAAGTTAATTGATTACATTCTTTCAGCACAAACTAACCTGAATTTCCCAGGCATTTTATTCCACAAAGTGACAAAGGTTGATTCATAGCTGCAAACTCTGACCTGTAAGCACAAAATCTTTATGATGGATAAACACATACCTGATGATCATCCTCCCTTTTGCATCAATCCTTTAACAAACAAGTATTTCTAGCAACCCTGACAAACTCAATGCCCTCTCTATCTGCATTTAATTTTGTGCTTTTTAAGCAGAAGAATTAGTCATATCTCACACATTGCATAAAAAGTGATGGATAATTAAAAAAAAACACTTCAATGGAATAAATTAAATTAACACAACCTTGAGTTCTTATCAGAAGTCAAAAGATCTGTCAAAGTGATGAAAATATTTTTAGAAATGTTTCTTTTTGTATTTAATGTTTTGTAGGCTCAGAGGTATGCACCTCCACTTTGATTTAAAATATGATTCGAATTGGATCTCGACTTTTATTTATCTAAATCAAACTTTTTCACTGTTCAGGGTGATCGGTTCAAAGATTTAAGAGAGTGTTAAAGGTCTTTTAAGTGTCTGATAGTGAAAACACTTGAAATAACAGAGCAGACACTGAGGTATTGCTGCTCTGCAGAGGCTCATCTAACAGCAAACAGCTCTGATATCTTCATCTTTACACACACACTCATTGTGGAACAGGCGACCTGGACAAAAACACAACTATTATCCAGCTCCTTTCAGGAGTTGACAGGCTTCCGTCACTCTAATGAGATGAAAACAAACAGTAACGATAGCCCTGTGTGTGTGCGTGTGTGTGTGTGCAGACACTACATTGTGCTGTGCTCTCTTGTCTCGTATCAATGGCAGTCACTTAGAAAGTGTGAGTCAGTTTGTTTACAGTTTCCACAGATGGAGCCCTGACAGTGTCTGGATAACTGAGATAGATGAGTCTCGGTGCAGCTCAGCAGAGGGGAAAAGCAACCGTCAGTAACGTTCATACAGATATACTGCATGCGCACGCATGTGCATTCATGGATACAGGCATGCACGACCGAGTAAAGAAGCAAAATATACAGTTGCAGAGTAAGCAAAGGTTATCCACAGTTTGTTTTTGTGTAAACCCTTTAATCTCACGTTTTTGGCACAGACACGTGTAGATCAACACCTGCTATAAAACAGATTGTAAACTGTTAGAAATAAAATATCAGTAGTTTGTTACTAATCAGCAGAACAGAAGAGAAACTACTTAAGTGTTTAAGTAAATGTCAGTTTTGCACTGTAATAAACATCTATTCATTATATGTACTATTACAGCGGGTAAAATAAGTATTGAACACGTCACCATTTTTCTCAGTAAATATATTACTAGAGGTGCTAATGACATGAAATTTTCACCAGATGTCGGTAACAACCCAAGTGATCCATACATGCAAAGAAATCAAACCATAAATGTCCAGAAATGAAGTTATTTGTAATAATGTGGAATGGCACAGGGAAAAAGTATTGAACACATGAAGAAAGGGAGGTGTAAAAAGGCATGGAAAGCCAAGACACCAGCTGAACTCTCTCAGTAATTAGAAAGCAAGCCTGCCCCTTGTCAGTGCAAGTTAATATCAGCTGGTTCAGTCCCAAATGATGGCCAGGTATCACACAAGAACCATCTGATGATGGGTAAAAGTAAAGAGCTCTCTCAAGACCTTCACAACCTTATTGTTGCAAAGCATAATGATGGCATCGGTTACAGAAGAATGTCTAAACTTCTGAAGGTTCCAGTGAGCACTGTTGGGGCCATAATTCAGAAGTGGAAAGAACATRATTTCACCATAAACTGACCACGACCAGGTGATCCTCACAAGATTTCTGACAGAGGAGTGAAAAGAATTATCAGAAGAGTTGTCCAAGAGCCAAGGACCACTTGTGGAGAGCTTCAGAAAGACCTGGAATTAGCAGGTACGTTTGTTTCAAAGAAAACAATAAGTAATGCACTGAACCACCATGGCCTGTATGCACGCTCACCACGCAAGACTCCACTGCTGAAGAAACAGCATGTTGAAGCTCCTTTAAAGTTTGCTGCACAACATTTAAACAAGCCTGTGAAATACTGGGAGAATATAGTCTGGTCAGATGAGACCAACATTGAACTGTTTGGATGCCAGAATACACATCATGTTTGGAGGTCAAATGGCACTGCACATCAGCCTAAAAACACCATACCAACAGTGAAGTTTGGAGGTGGGAACATCATGGTGTGGGGCTGTTTTTCAGCATTTGGTACTGGCAAACTTCAAATAATTGAAGGAAGGATGAGTGGAAAAATGTACAGAGACATTCTTGATAAAAATCTGCTTCCATCTACCAGGATGATGAAGATGAAACGTGGCTGGACATTTCAGCAAGACAATGAGCCCAAACACAAAGCCAAGGAAACTCTCAGTTGGTTTCAGAGAAAGAAACTAAAGCTGCTGGAATGGCCCAGCCAATCACCTGACCTGAATCCAACAGAAAATCTATGGAAAGAACTAAAGATCAGAGTTCATAGAAGAGGTCCACGAAACCTTCAAGATTTGAAGACTGTTTGTGTGGAAGAATGGGCCAAAATCACACCTGAACAATGCATGCCACTAGTTTCTCCATACAGGAGGTGTCTTGAAGCTGTCATTGACAACAAAGTCTTTTGTACAAAGTATTAGATAAATTTCAGTAAGTGTGTTCAATACTTTTTCCCTGTGCCATTCCACATTATTACAAATAACTTCATTTCTTTGTATGTATGGATCACTTGGGTTGTTACAGACATCTGGTGAAAATTTCATGTCATTAGCACCTCTAGTAATATATTTACTGAGAAAAATGGTGACGTGTTCAATACTTATTTTACCCGCTGTACATAAAACTTAATAAATTCTATTTTTGTCATGTCAGTTCTCAAGAAGGAAAGAAATTAGAAAGATAAAGTAGAACTTGCTCACTTCATTGTAAACATTGCAGAGCTCTGTCCTTTAACACCTTAGTCTAACCCTTGGAAAATAGCAATGTTTCCAGAGGAGATTTTCTCTATGGTTTGCAGCTCCTCAGTCTGGAACAGTTTGAGGAAATGCTGCCACCATGTGGCCATAGCTCATCTGAGAGAAACATGGGTCSACCAAAGCAGATTCAGAAGCAGATCAGATGTGAACAGACAGCAAATTAATAGGAAAATCCTGCTGGTTACTCTGAGTTTTCCATTTTGTTTTTCCTTTTTTTTGTGTGTCAAAGTCACAAATCTTTTCACAATATTGGTTCATTTAAAAAAAATTGAAAATGCTAAAGCAAAGTCACATATCAGCTAATTTCTGATAAATTTGCAAGACTCACATTTTTTCCAAGAGGCAAGATTGCTTTTAAACAGATAAAAATACACAAACATTTTTCTATAGAAGGTATACCCCCCCCCCCCCAAAAAAAAAAAAAAAAAAAGAAAAAAAAAGGTTTGGTTTGGTCAGATTTTAGCTAAACTTATTGCTTTAACAATATTTATGAATGCTTTAAAGTATAAACTATAATACAGAGATTTCATCCATCACTTTTCACTCGCTTCTTCCTGTCAGGGTCAGTGGAGTCCATATGTCACAGTGTGAGGGGTGAGGTACGCACTGGACAGGTCAAACACAGGACCACATATGAGACAACCATTCACTCTTACACACAGCTATAGGGACAATTTAGTGTTACCAATTAGCCTAACATTCATGTTTTTGGTCTGTGGGAGGAAACTGAAAAAACCAGGAGAAAACCCACACATGCACTGAGAGAAAATGCAGACTTTGACCAGAAAAGATCCTTGGCTGGGATTTGATCCGGCAACTTTTTTTTGCTGAGAGGCAAAAGCTCTACCAGCTGAGCCACAGTGCCACCTACAGTAAGATTTAAACAATAAAATTGAAATTAAATTTTAACTTAAGAGTTACATATTATACATTAAAATGCAACAGACAGATTTTTTTCTCTCTTGAGAAAATCTTGCAACTACAAATATTTGACATCAAACAAAATCACTAAAACATCAAATGCAGTCAAAAAACCCAAACAATTCTGATGTTGTGCTCACTGACATCTTTTCAGTTTTCATACTTCAGTCGATGCTTTCAGGTCTCAGTTCCTCACATTTAAACAATAAACCAATCCTTCAGGTTTTCCAGTTCTCACGAGTTAGGTTACTCACACACCCGTTTAACTCAAACTGGTAACATTTCAGTTGATGATGAACGGATGAATGTCACATCCTGTGCTCACTTCTCTAAACGTTTGACCTCCGAGACGACTCGTCGTCCACAAAATGCGTCAGAATGGTCAGAAAGCACACACACACACCAGCGCACGCCCCCTCTTAAAAACACATTTAAAATATAATTTATTGCACATTTAAAGATCAACAGAAAGTGGCACAATACCAATTTCAATCCTGTTCCATATTAACAAAAATAAAAAGATGAAAGAAGTCCTTACAAAATGCTCACGCCTTCTGTTTATGATCCTCGCTTTTGACTTTAGAACAAAATGGCCATAACATTGCAGGAATGCAAGACTGAGACTGCATAGATTTATAAAGAAATTAATAATAATAATAATAATAATAATAATAATAACAATAATAATAATAATACACTTCCTTAATATGGCACATAAAACCAAACGGACCTCAGAATGACTCATGCTTGTCACAAGCCTGCTGACTGCCAGAATTTCCCAGTGACTTACAGGTGGCTCAGTGTCCACACAAACAGGGTAATTTCCGTTCTAAAAAAGGAAACATACAGATGACAATAATGTTCTTACACAGATATTTATATATATATAGTTATCTCAAGCCCAATTCTGAATTGTCTGTTGCAGATATAGGTTTCAAATGCAATTTTATATAGTAAAAAAAAGAAAGCACTTTTTCAGCCCTGTTTACAGAATCAACTCCATCAAATTAAAAGAGGAAACAGACGTGCGTCACGGTAAAAGCCTCGAAACGGAGGCGCGATGAAACAGAAACTGTACAAAAACATAATTACATGATCATCACAGTCATTCGTTCAAGGTACTATTTACATCTTTGACCTCATTATTCATGTCACACAGTAACACCACCACCCAAGCGTCTTCACTGCGGTTTCACAATCTGCCATGTTAATACAGCGCTCCACCTTTGGGAGAATTTTGCGCTGTTGGTGGTCATAAAGGACTGTCACCTCTTATTGCTGCGTGGCTCATATTCTGATAAAGTTACAGGACTTTAAAAACGTCCCGTAACGACTACACGATGAACCAAACCACTGAGAAATGTGCGAAACCCAACATACATACCTGCTTTTTTAAAATGTGGCAAACCTGGTATTTAAAACAAACAAACAAAAAAAAACAAGCTACAGTATGTACAGTAGGACACTGAGGAGGAAGAAGAAAATAACTTGAATGTGGTGGCACTAATGTCCAGAAGTCCGTATATGATCCCCGTGCCTCGCCTCGACCAGGAGTAAACACACACATATTGACCAACAACACAGCATCATTAAAATCCAGTCAAAGGTCAACAGAAGAACGGCACAAAAAAGCATGCTAATCAGCTTCAAAATCAACTCATAATAATTAAATCAAACACAGTTTTATTAGGGTTACCTGATTAGAGGTTTACATTTTCAAAAGGGCTGCCTTTTTGCATACTTTATATGCATTATGACTTACAAACTGTAATGTTTTCATCTCTWACCTGCAGTTTAATGGGACAGATTCGAGTGATGAGAGGAAATCAGTATATACATGGCCAGAAGAAAAGATATGAACAGTGTTTGGCACAGAAGAGATTTTCACCGCTAATGTGATGGACTCGGCAGCCGTACCAGCCTACGCCGCATATGGGTAGAGGTTTACTGGAAATGACTCAATTTAGGTATCAAAACTGCCCTTTAGAGCAATTGCATCAGTGCTGATCATTTCAATGCAATTCTAATATATAAACCAATCAAAAAACAACCAGCATTCAGATACTACCTGCAAAATCATTTGTTCCAACACGCTTCAACAAAAGASAAAAGGCCTCAAARGTTTGTTGAAATTACCTCATTTTTAGCATCTTGAAACGTGCCTATTTAATACAATATCTCGGCACTGCAGTGATCGTGACTTTTGCAACCCCGCGTACTGAAAATACAAACAAATTTTAAGAAAAAAAAGGGCAAAAACTTTGTCTGCCCCTGAACGAAATAAACCAAGTAAACATGAAGATGCAAAGTAGATCCAGAGCAGTGATTTTTGGACACACTTTGAAGAAGCAGCACTTGAAAAAAAATGGAGAAAGATACTGAAAGTTGAAAAAAAAATCAAAAAAGGGAGGAAAAACAGAAATGATGAAGGGAGAAACATTTTCTTTTGGCACCTGAGCCACAGTGGCAGTGCTCTTCTGTGGGTGGAAAAGACACRAGACGAGCGGAGAGAGATGCAACAGAGGAGAGGGGGAAAAAAGAAAAAAAGACCACACTAAATACAGTTCATGAGCAACTAAACTACCTTCCCTAACCCTTTTCTCCCCTACATGAGAGTTTATTTTAAGCCCTCACTCTGTACATCCTGATTTGATTCTTCCCACATCAMTTAAAAAAAACATCTACCTGCGATTTTTGTCACTCAGTCCAGTTTGAGCCGAAGCATTTCCAGTACCAGTTCTCCTTTTACAGTTGTGAACCTCTTTTGTGGAGGAGATCTTAGGTAAACGTTTGAGTACTTGCAGAAGGAGTGTTGTCCATGTTCTTCCCTCGCAGTTCTCTTCCGGCGCACGGGAGGAGGTCTGCAGGTTTCCGTCTCGGTTTTGCTTCCACTAAAGAAGTTCCTCACAGAGTTAAGTTTCACAGGCTCAGATCCTCCATCTGAGGTCGGTTAGTGCAGATCATTCAGTGCTGAGGCCCCCCCCCCCCACTTTCCGTTCGGGTTTGGTTCGGCGCGCAGTTCTATAGGTTCTCCCCGGGCTGATACTGAGGTTCCGTGGAGGTGAAGTAGTCCTCTAGGAAGCCCTGCAGATACTCAAACGTAGGCCTCTCCTCTGGATCCTTCCTCCAGCAGGAAAGCATGAGCTCGTGCAAGGAAGTGGGGCACTCTGCCGGGCAGGGCATCCTGTAGCCYCGCTCCACCTGGTCGAGCACCTCGCGGTTGACCATACCTGCCAATTAAACAGGAAGTCAGATTTAGGGAAACGTGCACAACCGTCCTCCTGAAGTTAACCGCATAAGGATTAAATAAGTTAATTACAAACACTTTGTGTAAATAAACCATTCTGTTGTATGATGCTCAATTCAATTATTGTTTTATAATCTAAAATATTTGTATGGGTTTGAATAAAGACCAGCTTTAACCTGGATAGGGGACTCTTCCTTTAGTTGCAAGCTCAGTAAGGAGCACACCAAACGACCAGACATCTGATTTGATGGTGAAACGACCGTACAGTGCTGCTTCTGGTGCCGTCCATTTGATTGGGAACTTTGCTCCTGAAGAAAATATTTTTTTTAAATCTGTGTATTTCCAAATCTTTTGTCATTCTGTTACTGGCTAATTGAAGAATTATGGTGCCAGTATCACATCTGTTAAGTGATGATTTACCCTGTCTTGCAGTGTATTCGTTGTCCTCGATCAGTCTTGCCAGACCGAAGTCGGCCACCTTACACACCAGGTTGTCTCCCACCAGGATGTTGGCGGCACGCAGGTCCCTGTGGACGTAGTTCATCCTCTCCACGTAGGCCATCCCTGCTGCAATCTGACAAGACAAAGACATTTAAAAACAGCCAAGGACACAAGCTTTAACCACATCACAGATGTTTACCTGAGCAGCCATGTCGACCAGCTGCGGCAGACGAAGCATCTTTCCTGCCTCTCCTTTAAGGAAGTCCAGTAAACTACCTGMGAATGCAGGATGACAAAACAACAGTTAGAAAACCTGCAGTGGTTGATCTCATTCTCGTTTCCTTGCATCAATGTTATTTCAGTTCCAATCTAAGTTAAAGGGGCAATATCATGTAAAATCAACTTTTTTTAGTTTTATATCATGTTATAATATTATACTCTCATAAAAAACATGCACAAAGCCTTGCTTTGACTCATTCATGAATGTTTGAGAAATCCTGCAGCGTTTTTAGGAAGCCATGCTGAGGAGCAAAACGACAGGTGGGGACCAGAAACGCCCCTGGGACGTGTCCTTAAGCTGAACTTTTTCATGGCAGAGCGCACTCCCCACACACCGCACTCCCCACACACCCTGCCCATGACTCCTGCAGGCTCTCGGTGAAAGTGAAACCTAACTGTCTGCTGAGCTCTCAACATTAGTTCTCACTCAGTGAAGCTCTTTTCAGATTAAAAATACCTTTGAGAAAAAGCATTTTCAGATGCCAAGTAAAGTGCATTATGGCAGCCCCCCTCCCCCCGCACCAAAATGGGCAAGACAGAAGCGGAAGGTGGTTCCTTCAAGAGACAGAGGCCAATTTCAAGGCATTTAGAAAAGGACGTGATGAGAAGATAAGTTTATTTTCTATTTAAACATAAAAACAGCACTTTAATAACAGCTAAAGGTGACATAGATACATTTTTATGGTATAGTATTTAAATGTATGCCTGAGAAAAACATAATATTGCCCCTTTAAGAATAAATAAATCCAGTTATGAATGTGCCTCTAGTTACAGCCTACCATCACGTCTTACCTTGGCTCATGTATTCAGTCACAATGTAGATGGGCTCCTCAGACACAACAGCGTACAACTGGACCAACTTCTCATGCCTCAGTTTTTTCATGACCTGTGCTTCCTGAAGAAAGGCCTCTGGAGACATGGTGCCAGGCTTTAGGGTTTTGATGGCTACTCGTGTCGTACCGTTCCATGTGCCTGTCATAAAGCAGAGAGAAACAAGATAGGTTCACTGTGCACCTTTAATAAACTACTGTTATTTGCTCATTTGAAAACATTTCACCATATATTATAAAAGTCTAATAAATCGGAACCTAATGCACTTTATAAAAAAAGAAAATGACTCTTGGAAATCAAAACATGAAGGTTGAAAAGTTCTTACCCATCCACACTTCTCCAAAGCAGCCTTGTCCAAGTTTCACATCCAAGCGAAGGGATTCTCGAGGAATCTCCCAAGCGTCTCTGGCCAGACCCTGAGTCTGAGGTTTGGCCACTGGACACACATCTGTTAGTGCGTGGCACAGCCCATCAGAGTGCTCTGATGGAGGGAAGACGAGACAAAGTCAATGGTCATTTTACAGTTATTTCGTGTTCGTTACCAGGATGTATGTGGAACCATACAGAGAATGTGCAATTGAACTGAGAAAGTCTTAAAGAACGGCCAAACAAAACCCAGAGTGCTTTGCTGATGTCTGGTTTAATGGTACCAGGAAAATCAGATRGAATCAGGAAATAACAAGACTTTTATAATAAGCTTTAGGGCATGACTCCACCTACGTATATTAATTACGTCATCAGTCGGGAGGGAGTCCCTATCATTTTGGTCAAAACCATGCCTACAAACAACTAAACACCTATCCTAATGATTTTAAAAGTACAAATATGTGTTGTATTTGTTACCAGGCATGTAACTATTGATATAGAATCATCAAGTTAATCAAAAATCACATTTAACAGTCATTACATTTCTTATCATAAAACAAACTATACTATGTGTAGTGCGATTACAATCAGTGTACTACATAAACCCCAATAATTTCTTCAAGGTTATAAAAGGTTTTAACTATCAGTACAGTGCGAGTACTCACTGCGGTAGTGGAAGACGAGTTGTTGTAGGCTGGTGAACTGGGTGCGGGAGGTGATGTAGAAACCCCCACTATCCAGCTTCCTGATTTTGTAATGTTTAACGTTGAGGCCTTTGGTGTTGTCATAATCCAACACTGACAGGCAGTATGCCCCTMTGAGTGAAACAAAACAACAGATGGGAGATACTTTAGATATTTTAGAGTCTTGAGCCACTGTGATAGCTGACCTGTGGACTTTACTAGCAGCTGTGCCTTGGATCTTTAACTATTCAGCCTCTCATCCAGGCCTGTTTTTAGTTTTGCCAACTTGTTGCAAAAAGCAACATTTTCGAAAACAGAAACAATCCAAAAATATGACATCATACTACACAAGACTTTGATGACTTAAAGTGCCTGTGACATGCATYTCCATGAAATACAAAAAGRCAAAGAAAATATATTTGTATTTAAGAAACTTGGCATAATACACAATTTTACCCATTATGCCACATAATTAGCATATTGCTTTTGAATTTGGCTCAGCTAAAGTGAAACAGGAAGTGACATCAAAGGGGAACTCTGAGTAAGAAAACTTCCTGGTTTTTATTTATTGAAACAATATTATTTGAATTATGACTCTTCCTCATCTTTCTATGATAGTGATCAAAATAATCTAAAGAAACATCAGATTCTACTCTACAGTCTGTGTTGTTAGCTATTTTAGCAACACTATTCAGACATTCCCCTTTGGCATCACTTCCTGTTTCCTCACATGAAAATATCTCAACAGATATTCATCTCAGCAATGTGAAATCATTTTTACAGTATGTTGTTAATGTTATTTTTCCAAAAATACATTCATATTTATTACAAAAATTTGATGTCACAGGCACTTTAAGGATAAATGTGGAGCTTATTAATTTCACATGATCTGAAAGAAGTCATCATAAAATCTCACTGAATACATTATAAAAGCTACAGTCAGTGCAATGCATGGACCTAAAGTAGCAGTGGAAAAATCTCGCTTTAACTAGGAAAAAATTACGTGATTCGTCTTCATGACCGCATTTCCTTAACCTCAATGAAAAAAAAGTCACGAGGTCAAAGAAATATGTTGAGAGGAAATCTGGATGCATTTGGAAAAACAGCTGCAACAACACAAGAACCCAACCACAGCTAGTCTGTCTACAGAAAGACCATTAGGCAGTCAGCCTGATTTGGTGTGACTGGCCCGATGGTTTGGTTTGATGTTACTAAACAGATCATTAAAAAGAAAGCAAAATGCTTCATTTATGAAATATGTTGTCATCTGATGCTGCTCAATTTAACCTTTCCATTCRTCACGTTCATCTACAATAATCAACAAATCTAAGCTCTACATGGATCTCAAGAAATCCATCCTTGATCGGCAAGTTTGTCAACTTTACTTCCTGTGTTGGGGAAAAAACATATGATGCAAGAAAGCTACACTTCCTAATTTACCACATTCTGTTTTTAGTGTATTGTTCCTRCACCAGCTTAAAACCTGACCTTCCATGTTGAAGTCCAGCAGTGCTTTAAATAAAATCTTCCCCAGGGTTATCATGAATACAACTGCGTCATTTAGGCCGGCTCATTATCTTCCTGATCACGTATGTGGGGAAATAAAGCAGTCCAAAAGCCTCTAACAAAAAGCCGAAACGATTGAGGTCGGTCAAAGATCTGCTGATGGGTGCTGCCTGAACATGTGCGCAGCATGTCCCTGCTGATCTATGACACAACACAAACCCGGCATTTGACAGCGAATACAGGACGAACCCAGAGGCGAGAGATCTTCTGCCAGAGCTCCTCTTTCTCTCCCTGATCGCCCACCCCTTGCTTTCTTTTCTTTGATTTGCCCCTTCGCAATTCTTCTATCCCTCCCTCCATGCTTTTCCGCCACTCTTCTTGTGTGTGTGTGTGTGTGTGTGTGTGTGTGTGTGTACTGAGATTTCTAGCCAAAGGGGAGAATCTGCACCCTCCAAGGCTGACCTAGTTCTGGGTGAATGATTCACCCCGATCCATTCACAAGTCCAACCCACTCCTCGAAAACAACCCTACATCCCAAAGACTCGATGCAACGGCACACTTTGTGGGAAAGATGAACTCCGCAGCGAGCTCATTTCTGGCGTAAAAAGCAAACAAACGACTCATTTACAAGGTTCTTCCTCTTTTAAATGACGTCCCTCAAGATTTACTCATTAAAAGATAAAATCACATTTACAGCACAGTGAGGACTCCAGGGACACAAAGACACCCCCGCTGCCCCTTTATCCACCTTTAATGCATAAAAACAAGACATGAATCGGAATTTTAATGAACATTTTAGCTAAAATACTTACATTTAATTAATTAATTAATTTACACGTACTACCTGGAAAATATGATATATGGCTGCTGCTTAGTAACAACTCACAATTATATCTTAAAATAGATTACAGCTGCAAATTCAAATTGTCCTCATTATCAATTCATCAACACACACGTGTCTTTTTATATGCGTGTTTATTACGCTGCTTTTACACATGCAGACTGGAGATGTTCAGGAGAATGTGAGGGTTATCTAGGCTGTACCCCCCCCCCCCCCCCCCCCCCCCCCCCCCCCCCCCC